TCTAGTAATCAAAGAGGATCTTTTTATGATTCACCTGATGAAGAAGAAGAAACCAGTAGACGAGAGAAAAAAGGATCAAAAATTAATGGAGGTCCTTATTTTACTCTTGATGATGTCTCTCCACAACATTGGAGAAAAAGACTACTTGATTTTGGAGCCTGGTTAGATACTCAATTCATGAAGCTAGAAGCAGATCCATATAAAGTCATTGAAGAATTTTGTTGCAGAATGACTGGCACTCTAAAAGAATGGTACCACAATCTGGGAAATGTCAAACAAGACCAGTTTCACCAACTGGGTAATACTCGCCAAGTTCTTGGAGCAATACACCAAGAATTTGTGGGTGACATGGATCTTTATGATAAAAAAATCAGGCAAGATTATTTTGAAATGAGATGCTGCTCTTTGAAGAAAAAAGATTTAGAAAGGCATCATAAAAGAATGGTAGAGATTTTCTATCTTCTTAATGGATACAATGATGTCAGTCTAAAAAATACTTATGTTGCTTCTCTTCCTCAAGAATTACAACCAGAGATTCACAAGCTCATAGTAGCCCAAGGTCAAGATTTAACCAGTTTAAGCCTTGGTCAAATTCACCAGAAAACAATGGAATCTCTTGACAAACTATGCAGGACACATCTGTTCATCTCTGATGTGATGAATGAAAGATCAAAATTCACAAAAGCCTGCAAGAAAAAATACCTTGAGATTGGATGCAAAGAAAAGAAATGTGTCTGTACATCCAAGAAAAAAGAAAAAATAAGAAAGTTTTCAAAAAGGAAGAAGAAGAAGATGAAATACTTCAAGAAGAAAGAAAAAAGAGGAAAAAAGCAAAGGAACCCGATGCTTTATCTGCGGGAAAAAAGGACACTTTGCTAAGAAATGCCCAAACAAGGATGCCAAAGCCCAAAACCTAGTTAATTCTTTGGATCCTATAGAAAGAGATATTGAATCTGAATACTCTGAACAGGAAGAAGCAGATCAAGATACTGTCTTTGCCATCCAAGAATCGTCTGACGATTCTTCGGAATCTTCAAGCAAAGAAGAAGAATATATCCCTCTTTATTTTACTCAAGAAGTAAATAGTGTTCTTCAAACTCCATCACAACCTTGTGTGGAGGTCCAAGTTCTCATTAACAAATATGCTACTCCAATCAAGGCCATAGCTTACATGGACACTGGAGCACAAAGAACTATGATAAATCCAGAGGTTCTTCCAAAAGAATGCTGGATCCAATATACTACCAGTTTTGTAGCAGCTGATGGAAAGATCTTCAACACTCATTTAATCTCCAAAATGCCTATTGGAATCAAGTTATTTCCAGATTGCATCATTTGGATCAAACCTATAGGTACTCATCTGCCTAATAAAGATATTCTGCTTGGCATGGATGCTTATTGCTTAACTGATAAGCTTCAGATACTTCCAAGAGGAATTAAGTTTAAAAGAAATTTCAAGCCTTATACAGATGTCTTGAAACTTTATTCTCTGGAAGAGAGCCCAACAGAATATTTCGAACTCAAAGAAAAGTTGAAGACCTTATGTGCAGATGGACATGAGAATTTTTCTCATTCCAATCCAATTTGGAACAATCCAGAGTTTTTTATAAAACTCCCTTTCAAGCTCAATGAAGACATCAATCCTACCAAAGCCACACATCCTGGAATGAGTCCAAGTGATCTCCAGATGGCTCGACAAGAATGTGCTGAACTTCTTCGTCAAGGACTAATTGAACCCACCAAATCTGAATGGGCATGCCAGACATTTTATGTGGAAAAAAGATCTGAAAGAATCAGAGGAAAAAAGAGGTTAGTAATTGATTATAAACCTCTCAATCATTTTCTTAAAGATGACAAGTTTCCCATCCCAAAAACCTCATCTTTGCACACTCTTATCAAAGATGCCATGATCTTTTCAAAGTTTGATTTAAAGTCAGGATTTTGGCAACTCGGTGTTGATCCCTCTGATCGATACAAAACTGCTTTTTGTATCCCAAATGCTCAATACCAATGGAAAGTTCTTCCATTTGGCTTAAAAGTAGCACCTTCTCTTTTCCAAAAAGCCATGACCAGAATTTTTGAGCCAATCCTTGATAGTATACTCATCTACATAGATGATGTATTACTTTTCTCAAAAGACAAAGAATCTCATAAAACCCTTTTAAACAAATTCTTTGTTCTCTCCAACAAATATGGGATTATGTTGTCAGAAAAAAAGATTCAATTAGCACAAACCCAGATAGACTTTCTGGGAATGCATTTTTCTCAGGGAAATTATCAGCCTCAACCTCACATTGCAGAAGAACTCCTGAATTTTCCTGATGAAAATTTCACTGTCAAACAAATTCAACAATTCCTTGGAGTATTAAATTACATTAGAGATTTTATTCCTAATGCTGCCAAATATACAAGTCCTCTGTCAAAACTGCTAAGGAAAAACTCTTCTCCATGGAGTAATGAACAGACTGAAGCTGTTCGTCATCTGAAAAAAATAGCTCAGAACCCTCCACCATTAAAGATCCCTGGAAATGGGAAAAGAATTCTACAGACAGATGCTAGTGATCATTATTGGGGAGCTATTTTACTCGAAGAAGTTGATGGAAAAAAGGCTTATTGTGGACACGCCAGTGGACAATTTAAGGAATCTGAAAAGCATTATCATACAACATATAAAGAAGCCCTTGCAGTAAAAAATGGTATCCAAAAATTTGACTTCTATCTTAGAGGTCATAATTTTGAAGTTCAAATGGATAATTCTGCTTTTCCTGCACTGCTTGATTTCAAAAATAAGATGCCACCAGATCCTCAAGTTCTCAGACTGAAAAATTGGTTCTCCAGGTATGATTTTACCGTTAAACACATCAAAGGAGAAAAAAATGTTGTCCCTGACCTCCTATCCAGACCAAAAAAGCCTATTGCCATTGTAACCTCATTAAACTCATATCCTTTAATTTTCCCTCTCAATATTGCTGAAGCCAGTACTAGCTCTGGACCAACTCCTCTTCCAATGTTTCCTCCAGATATGAGACATGATGTTATCACTATAGAATACATCAAAGATTTTGCAAAAAATCACATGTTCCATTATCTGTCTCTTTCACTCTACCACCGCAGTGTTAAACCTAAACCTACCTGGTTTCAACCTGATGCACCATACCTAAACATCTTTGCATTATTAATGGATTTTCCTTTAATTGAAGAAGATGTATGTTATCTTTGGTGTGCCACCCTTTTATATCACTATCCCATAGTTTTTCCCACTTTCATCATGTTTGAATTTCTTAATGACCTCCGCAATCAATCCACTCTGTTATGGAAATTTTTGGCTTGGTATCAACCTATCCCAAACTGGAAGAAAGATGTTCAACTTGAATTACAAAGACTCAGTATTTGGAAAGAAATGAAGTTACCTCCAACTGAAACTCCAAAACAGGTAACAGTGGTCATAATTCATAGACCTTATTTCGAACATCCAGTTTCAAAATTACTTTATACCCAGAATCAAGTCAAAGTCTGGAACACATTTACAAGCCTCCTAGAGATATCTGAACCAAACAGACCACCTCATAACCAAGCAGATTTAAATGTTCACCTCCATACTGAAAATGGAGCTCATGAAGAAATGTTCAAAGTAAAATCCACTTGTTCCAAGTTAAAAGCAATAGATATAATTTGTCCTCCTGATAATGATAATCCAACAATGTGGGACAAGATCCAACCAATAGATCCATCAGTAATTTGCTCCTCTATTACTTTTGAAAATTGAGAAATGGACAGTCATGTCATAATCAGAAATGAAGGCTCAACACGTATTGATCCAATAATGGACTCTCAAGATCCTCAAGATCCTTTTGACTCAATCAGCCTCTGCTCAAGTGACGATCCCAACATGTCACCAAGTCACGAGCTTATCCTCAAAAACTAAAGAATCTCTGAAAAAGCATCTTTATGTAATAAAGTGTCTTTTATATTTTATTTTTTGTATGAGTCACGTGTACTTAAAGTCTTGGTTTTGTAAGTTTGCTAAAAGTTACTTTAGAAAAGGTTTGGAATCTTATCCAACCTTATCTGATGTAATTATTATAGTTTCTGTCCATCCTCTATATAAGGGGGAATCCTTTGCCTTAGAAGGTAGACCTAATCGAAATAAAACTTGAGTGTTTCATATATCATGAGTTGTTTCTAAATTTCTCTCTCTGAAAGCTTTATTTATAATGACTATCCTCTAGTCCCTGACTAGAAAGAAGTATGCTCTGCACTTGCCATTTTAATGGATCCTGTGCATCAGAAAATTTCTAGGTGAAAGATCTTGTTGCTACGGTCCTCTTTATTATAATTCAGGAAGGATGATCAGCATGAGTATAAGAAAAATGCATATGGGTTTGCTCAAAGTATTAGAAAGTGCTGATAGTTTCTTTCTGGGTTATGATATAACAAAATTATAAAATGCTTTTATAAATTCTATATAAATCCTTCTAAGATAAATAATTTCATACCACAACACTCATCTTTCTCATTTAGGGAGTACAAGAGCAACCATACTAAAGTCATTAAGAATAAGATAAAATTTAAATATAATTCTTTAAATATTTTTAAAATTATCTTTCAATCAAAATTAGTGTCTCATAAATGACAATTAAGATATGGAAGATCATATAAGTAGATTGCAAAACCTAACTTTATGAGGGTGTGAGGCTTTTCTTTTTTTTTTTCTCTCACGGGGAGGTTAAAATTGATACTTCTTAATCAACTCATTTCTTGATAATAAAATTATAAATATTTATTTATTTACCAACATCTTAAAAAAAAGGAATTTATTTGATATTACCATAAAATGAGATAAATATGCAATCCAGTCAGTAAAATCACTCGAGAAAGAATCTTTATGTGTGCAAGTTAATTTTTTAAATTTAAAAAACTCGTTAATCTTTTTGAACATAGCAAAATAAATTAACAGACAAAGAAATTAAGATTTGAGAATAATTCGAGAAAGCAACAGTGTTGTGATTAGAAACTTGAAAGGTGAAATAGAGTTCTACTTGGAAGGGATAACTACTTGTGGTCAAGAAGAAACCAGGCATGCATAATCCCGAGTTGTGGCTTCATGTCATTGTACGGCGGCAGATACTGGAAAAACCGGTAAAACAAGGATGTCCTCTGCTACTCTTTTCACGACACCACCACCGTCGGCGACCCGGTCCACGGCGGCGACACCGGCTCATTTGGACAAGCTGACACTCCTAATCGACAAGTCGAAATCCATAAACCAGCTTCTTCAAATCCACGCCGCACTCATTCGGCGTGGGCTCGACCACCACCCTATCTTGAACTTCAAGCTCCAACGCTCCTACTCCTCCATGGGCCACCTCCACTACTCCGTGGCTCTCTTCAACCGCACCCAAAGCCCAAACGTCTTCTTATGGACCGCTATCATAAACGCTCACACACACTCTGGTCTCTGCCACCAAGCCCTCTCCTATTACACCCAAATGCTAGCCCACCCTGTCCAACCCAATGCCTTCACTCTCTCTTCACTTCTCAAAGGTTGCACCCTCGAGCCCGCTAGAGCCATTCACTCACACGCCGTCAAATTGGGCTTTAGTTCCGACTTGTACGTTACCACGGGCCTCGTTGACGCTTACGCACGTGGCGGTGATGTTATGTGCGCTCAGAAATTGTTTGTTACTATGCCTGAGAGGAGTTTGGTTACTTTGACGGCTATGCTTACGTGTTATGCGAAACATGGGATGATCCGAGAGGCTCGGTTGTTGTTTGAGGGAATGGAGACTAAGGATGTGGTTTGTTGGAACGTGATGATTGATGGGTATGCTCAGCATGGGTATCCGAATGAGTCTTTGTTTCTGTTTAGGAGAATGCTGGGTGAGAAGGTTAGGCCTAATGAAGTAACTGTGTTGGCTGTTCTGTCTTCTTGTGGCCAGCTTGGTGCTTTGGAGTCTGGAAGGTGGGTGCATTCCTATATTGAGAACAGTCAACGAGTTAACGTTCGTGTGGGTACTGCTTTGGTTGATATGTACTGCAAATGTGGGAGTTTGGAGGATGCGCGTAAGGTGTTTGATTTGATTGAGGGAAAGGATGTGGCGGCTTGGAACTCCATGATTATGGGATATGGGACACATGGGTTTAGTGATGAGGCTTTGCAGTTGTTTTATGAGATGTGCTGCATTAGATTGAAACCCTCTGATGTTACCTTCATTGCCGTTTTGACTGCTTGTGCACATTCGGGTTTGGTCAGCAAAGGATGGGAGATTTTCAATTTGATGAAGGATAGGTATATGATGGAACCACAGATTGAGCATTTTGGGTGTATGGTGAGTCTTCTTGGCCGAGCTGGGCATCTGCAAGAAGCTTATGACCTTGTGAGGAGCATGGATATTGAACCTGATCCTGTCCTGTGGGGAACTTTGCTTTGGGCTTGTAGGCTTCATAACGATGTTTCTTTGGGAGAGGAAATTGCAGGGTTTCTTGTGAGCCATAATTTGGCTAGTTCAGGGACTTATGTTCTTCTTTCTCACATGTATGCTGCTGCTGGCAACTGGGTTGGTGTGGCCAAGGTGAGATCATTGATGAAAGACAGTGGAGTTGAAAAGGAACCTGGGTGTAGCTCAATTGAAGTTAACAACAAGGTACATGAGTTTCTTGCTGGTGATTTGAGACACCCAAAGAGCAAAGATATATATTCGATGCTGGAAGAGATAAATTGTTGGCTCAAGGCCAACGGTTATATACCAAAGATAGATGTAGTGTTACATGACATAGGGGAACAACAAAAGGAGCAATCCTTGGAAGTTCACAGTGAGAAGCTTGCCTTAGCATTTGGTCTCATTAGCACCAATCCAGGAACTACCATCAAGATTGTAAAGAACCTTCGAGTGTGCTTGGATTGCCATGCCGTGATGAAGATGATATCTAAGATCACTAGCCGAAATATAATAATGAGAGACCGGAACCGGTTCCACCAATTTGAGAACGGTTCATGTTCATGTGGAGATTACTGGTGAACGTTTATTTATCCACAGAATTCCTTTCTTCTAAGACAAACACCAGATTTGTTACCCTTGCTGACTATTTCATTGTAACCGCAGTTAACAGATTACGAGCATCACGGATTATAAAATTCATGAGAATAAATTTAAGACCTAAATTCTATTGTATATTAACATGTCATTTAAAATTTTAAACCTCACTCAAATACCTACCGGTCCTTACAGCATTTTGACGGTAAATTAAGGATGATTAGAAAGATATGAGAGGATATGAACTTCTGATTGCGTGATATGTCAACACACTACACATTCTCAGGAAATTTTTCTAGTTGAGATAAAAATTGTATCTATATAATAAATTTATATAATTTTGTGATATTTGAAGAAAAGAAAGTATATGATGAAATGGTTAATGTTAAAAAACTTGTAAAAACTACTATAAAAATTATGAACAATGTAGCTCTTGGAGAAAAAAAAAAGAAAAAAAGCAATATTTCCCCCATTTTCAGTCCCTTAAATATCATTGTCAAAAACTCAGTTGTTATTATCTACTTTCAGATGGACAGTATTGTGCTTGACACAAAAATAAATAAATAAATAAAGATGGACATTGTTATTTATTAAAATGGTGAGGTCATGTTATTAAAATTCCTCTCCCTATAACTTCTAACAAGTTTCAAGCGTCAAGTCTAATCCCTTGTATTTTAATTTTTCCGTCAAGAGTCTAATCCATTGCTTAAAAAGGCAGGAAAAAATTGACAATTATACAGATCATAAATTGTACTCAAATTATGTTTATTTCATCCTTTAATCAAACTGATAAACATGAATTTACTAATGAGTTATTTGGTTTCAAAGAGCGATTTTGTTTTATTTTTTATTTATACTTTTAATTACAAAACTGAAATCTTATTTTCACTCTATTTTCCATTTTCAAAATGTACAAAAAGCAGAAACGAATTCATTTTCATTGTTTGATATACAATTATTTAAACAAAATTTAAAAGCTGGAAATTTTATAATTAAAAATAAAACCAAAAACAATCAACCTCTAACCTTTCCTCCCATTCCCTAAGTTAAAAACAGGCCCTAATGGAACAAAGTTGCAACAAAAGCAAGCGGATTTAAAATTTGTTTGATAACACAAGCTTATATGTTATTTTAAAACTTGTAACTATTTTTTACTTAATAAAACTGTTCGATAAACAAGATAAATAATAAGGAAACTTACAACTTCTGAATTTAAGTATACAACTTTTGAAAGCTAACTTATGAAAAACTGCTCTAAATATCATCTAGCTTATTAAAAACTAACTTCTTTAAAAGCTATAAACTTTCAACTATCGTATCAGCTATAAACTTTCAGCTAGTTTTACTAATAGAGACAATTTAAATAGCACACATGGATGCAAAATACAGACGTCAAGCAATACTTATACAGGATATTGTCCAACTAAATCTATACATTTTTGCTTATTAAGAATGCACTGCTACAAACTACTTTTCACTAATGTTATAGCAAATTACAACAGGATTCAAGGACAATTGAGTTAAGCCTACAACTATGGTTAAAATGGGTAACCTACCCACCCAAGATACACATCCACCGATCTCATCTAAATGGGGGGGGAAAGAAAGAATATAATGTACCAGCCAGGAGAACTTAGTGCTACTCAGATCTTACATTCTGAAATCCAAAACACACACTGTGTTATTTGCAAAACATGCGGCGATCTTGTCACCCTCCTTATTCCAACAGACCTCAAAAATGCCTCCATTGCCCGTGTATGTTCTGATAATCTTGCCTTCCTTTAATGACCATATGTGCATGGATCGATCAAGAGACCCGCTGGCTAAATACTCACCGTTGGGACTGAATGCAACAGAATATACGGGATGCCTGTAGGACCAAATAAACACATCAGGAAAAAAGAAATATCTGCCTCTTTTCTAGAGCATTTGTGAAACCATAAATTGAAGGTTAGGACTACATGTTCATCAGCCTTCACACAGCGTCTACGACTTGGAAACGAAAAATGGAAAGAGGCCAGTATACTACCCTCACAAAAGAATAAACCGAAGCTTAAAAGACGACACATATAAACAAACCAGAGGCAAAATTAACAGTACCTGTGTCCATCCAAGCTGTAAATGAGTTTCCCGAGCTCCACATCCCATAACTTCACAGTTGAATCAAATGAAGCACTGCACAAAAACATGACTAAGTGTTTAAATTCGAAAAATAGCATGCAGGCATGTTACCATGATCAAACTATCAAGACCGGAATGTTTATAAAAAATTGGAATCTAAACAGTAATTTCACAACAACTTTGCTGCAATCAAATATATAGTATGTAAATTAAAATTAATTTACGTGACAGGGGGGCAGTGAGAGAGTCAAAATAGCATCACACTTTGAGCATGCATTATAATCAATTGGAATCACAACCAAACAAACACAACACATCAGTCTATGTAGTTCAGTTAACAATGCAATGCAACTCACATTACCAATTTCAGTTGAAGAAATGCAATCCACACCTATCAACTAGGATTCAGGGTCTGGAAAAGTAAGAAATTATTCTACATTTGGAGAAACCATACATAAATGCACGCATGCATGAATGTAATAGTTAACTGAATTCCACCAAGTAACTAACATACCTAGCTAACACCAATTTATGATTAGGATTGTTGGTTCCAGGACCAGTGGGGCTCCATCTGATAGTATATATCTCCTACAAAGTAAATTATTTAGTTTTCCCAACAACATTGGATGACAGTTCATTGGAAAACATTAAAAACTCAGGGTACCTTGGAATGCTCCCGTAAGTCATGAAGATAGTTATCCTGCTTCATACTCCATATCTACAAAACAATCAAGTATCCAATCAAAACAAGAAATATCAAACGTACACAGTAATTTCAAAAATTATTTCATATTTCTGACAATAAATAGTTTTATAAAGAAGGTATGATAGCAAACACCTCATGAGGTTAGTAACTAAGTGGCCAACTATTACCTTTGCGGTGATATCATCAGAACAGGAGGCCAGCAATGAACCTGTGGGATCCCATTTGACACAATTAACTTCACCCTGAAAATACAAGAAAGGTCATTTGCAGATGTAAAGACTTGTCCAATTACTAAATTGTGTTTCAATGAAACATCTAAGACAATTGCTTCCTCAACACTCAACAGACAAAATATCATATCTATGATCCTTCAACGTCAGTGAACTATGACAGAAAAGGTAAACATGCAGACCCTATAATCTGGTTAAGTGAGATTTTACTTGATCACAGCAAATTACTAACTAACTTTGCTAGCCAATTAAGACATATAGGGCTGGTCATTTTACTTGAAAGTAGTGGACCACAGTTATCCACTAATCAGTTAACCTAGCCAGTCATTTTTAACCTTTGGTGAAGAATGTAGGGGATGAACCGTTTCTCACAATAGGGTATAATTTTATTAGCATTGAAAATATCAGCTTATTGCGTAGTTCCACAAAATAAGGTCTCAAGTACAAACCTTGTGACCAGCAAAAGTTTTTATAGGGCGGGTTTCCCCAATCTTGCAAACGTATATCATATTGTCCGTGGAACTTGTAGCAAAAGACACATTGTTGCGCCAATCAACATCAAGTGTTGGACCTAAACATATCAAACCCAAATCAAACAATCATTCATAAACATGGACATGGTTGAGAAAATTAGTGTTATATTTATAGAATTTCCCCTTGATTCCACAATCAAAATTTTCACCTGAATGAAATTCAAATTGTTGTTTCCATTCCTCTGCCTTCACATCCCACACAATGGCAGTTTGATCACAACTTCCAGTAAGAAGATAGTCACCTTTCTTATTCCATTTCAGAGAGAAAATTGGTCCTTTGTGTTTGCTTAATGTACTCCTCAGCTCACCTAGTCATAGGTAACATCACATTATCACAACAACAATCATGATTTAATTCTTACGATAGCAGACCTCCTATAACAAGGGTCTATCAGAGACGATTTAGAAGGAATAAAAGAGAAAGGGAGAACAAAAGTGTAACAGAATATTAATGAGTAGGTAGGTCAGTCATATAGTTAGTTATGTTTCTCTTAGGAGGTTATAAATAATGAAGGACAAATCAGTTGTAGGAGTTTTTTAGAAAAAGGGAAAGTGTAGCTTGGGAGAGACCAGGACTTGAACATTTCCTGGGTTGATTCTAGAGACTCTCTGTGCAATAAAGATATTATTTCTTTTTCTTAACATTTCTCTGATCCAATTCCTATCATCCTAAAAACAAATTCAAATAAATCCAGAGTCTGCTTAGGGAAATCAATAATAGCAATGTATTTACAAATAGCATGAATGCAACTACAAATAACAGACTTTGATAGCGATGTAACAACTGCCCTTATTTTGTTGGGCCTTAGTAGCGGTTGGCCCATCATACTCATTATTAACAAGAAAAAACTATTGTCAATTAAAGAGACAGCTGACATCAATATGAGAACAAACAATGTATTGCAATTTTGGGATACGTGCATACATCATTAACTTCCATTAGTCCATATCAGTCATACACCAAACAAGCTGGCCTCATAACAAAGGAAGAAATGGACTTGCATACTAATACAACTCCAATCTGACCATGTTCGAATCAGTTGTTTAAAGGAGAATGAACAAGGGAAGAAATTTACTTATTCACTCAAAAAAAATTATAAATATCAGCCTCCAAAGCATGAATTGCTGACTGGCAGCAAAATATATAGCAACTTACACAAAGCAAATAAAAATTTAAACATAGTTATCAATCTCGGATAGCAACACATAATGACTAACTCCAAAAATGCTATAGTGGGATTGCGTGTGACTGCTATTTAGAAATTTTATATATAAATTAAATAATTTATACAATATGTATAAGTGCTAAAAGATTTTTAAGAAAAATCAAAAGCAATGACATATTCATTAAAAAAAGAAGTCACGGTTGCAAAACATACAAGTACATAACCACGAAGTAAAAAAATTCCTCAATGTAGTACTTTCCTAGGGAGAAAAATGACTTTTCTTTGGAAAGTTTCACTCTGGCGCTGCAATAACAGTGCTACAGCTGCTATTAAAAAATGCTCGCCTATTCAAACTTTATAGCAGCCTACTCCACTCTGCTATTCCGCTAAAGCATGCTATTGATAAATATGAAATTAAGTAGTTCCTGTTTATGACTGTCGGAGTAAATGCATATTTAAACAAGAAGTAAATGATCACCTCCCCAGGTCACCTTCCCTGGGCTTCCAAGATAGCTAAAAATTCTCAACCACCCCAATAAAATAATAGCAATACCAAGGCAGTATTTAGCTCTCTTCCTCTCATCACATACAAGTCCTTAAATCTACTGCAGAATATAAAGAAACAAAAGAATGACCTACCACTAGTGGTCCAAATTCTTGCTTGCCCATCATATGAACCAGTTGCCAGAAGTGTCCCCTCCCCCTGCACAACAGCTGATGTAGTGAGCTCTCCATCATAAGGCGTAACACATTACCAGCAAATATTACAGATAATAACCTTGAATTTACATATCTTGGTTTCACAAGAATAATACCTAAGCATAGCAAAATTTAAGGACAGGTGGAAAGATATAAATAGGTTTTAAAATATAGAGATGTCTTAAAAAGAAAGATTGAAGTTTTACCTTTCATTTCATAGAAAAAGAAATTTTATTTGAGAGGAAATATTAAGAGAACAAAATAAAAGATATAAATAGGTTTAGAGAGAGCTATCAGACAAATAGGCACTGATACAGCTACATATGAAGCATAAGACTGGCATCTGAAAGAACAAGATATCACTATTTGAGTAGTTCACAGAGAAAAGGAGGAACAAAGACTTGTGATGTGACAGGCATTTTTATTTTATTATTTTGCATTGAGCCTTTTCATCCAATGCAGTGTTGTTAAATGGCGGCCATGGCGGAATTCGGTGGCAGAAATTAACCCCGCCGTTACAACGTTAGCATTTTATGGCATTTTTCCATGGCGGCGGTAACGGCGGCCATGACGGAAATTGTTGAAAAATGGCGGCAAATCTGACCAGGTCTAGAGGTTGACCCATGCAAGAAAACCCTAAAGTGACTTGTTAATAGCTGTGCTATCGCACCGGGGCGGTGCAAAGCAGCTGTCTGCTGCCACTGCCACCACATCGCGGGGTGTTTGTCACATCGCAGTGGTTGCGGGTGGTTTGCGGCCAGAACAGGGAGAAGTCGCAGGTGCTATTGCACGATTTTGGGAAAAGGAAGAAACCCTTTTCTGTTTTTCTTAAAACACACCGTTTTGATTATTTGTAAGGGTAGAAAGGTCATTTACCCTTGATAAAACATATATTTCATCTTCCTTGACACTCTTCCTCTCTGCACGAAAAGCCAAAACCTCAAAGTAACAATTTCTCCCATCCTAACAGATTCACCCACTCCATTTCGCCGGGAAAATCAGTTTTTCCAGCGTCTCCTCTGCTTTTCTCTTCACAGGAGAAATCAGCTTTTCCGGCATCTATTCTGCTTTTTTGTTTGAGCTCTATTTTACTATTCACTAATCATTTTTGTTTTTCTATTCAAGATCTGTTTTGCTATTCATCCTCTGTTTTGTTGTTCAAGCTCTATTTAGCATTTTTTGTTTAATATAACATCCAAGCTGCAGTGTTTTTACTCTTTTACATTGTAACTGTTACTTGGAATGATGATGTAATCTTGAGAATTTCTTGAGCATTTATATTAAATTTGTGTACATAAATATTATATATGCATATTATAATATTTTATATATATTTTATTATATCCGTCATAACTTTATGACAAATTTTTTCGTTTCCACCATGAGCCGCCATTTGCCATTGATAACATTGGTCCAATGTCGGAATATTAGTTAGTCCACCATCTTTTTTTATGACAGAAAGAATAAATAAATAATTCCTAGTCCTCTGATTTTTTATTTAATACTTGGACGAATAAATGGTCCTTACCAATGTTGTCAAGTTCGGGATCTTACCTAGGATCGGAAGAGGGATAAAAAATAGTAATCGTAGGATTGTAAGATCCTACTGAATGCGTAGACTTATACTTAAAACATATATATAACCAGAGAAAATTACATAGATAAAAAGTTAATGTCTAAATTACCTAATTTAGTTAAATATAAACTTAAAAATCCTAGATTTAAGATTCAATATAACACATAATTAGTTAAACTATCCATGCTGAGGTGAGAAAACACATAATAGAAAATAAATAAAAGAATATTTTTTAAAAAATTAAAAAGATCAACAAGTTATCCAACTTATAGTACTTTGCAATAAATAATATTGATGTATAAGCTCTAGTTAACAGTGTTTAGATTTATAGTTAAATAGGTGAACTTAGAAACTTATAATGTTTAATAGATTTTTTTATAAAATATGATATTCATTAATTTTTAAAAAATTATTAGAAAAATTAATTTTATACCATTTTACATATAAGTTAATGTCTAATATTTATTTAAATTAACCTCACTCACAGATTTATATTGAAAGGTGTATTTATAACAAGACAAAAAATTCATCTCTACTACCAAATGCGAAACAAAACTGAAACAGTGGCTCACAGTATATCTAGAGAATACAAAACACCAAGAAAACGTGAACCATTAATTGAAACAAGCAAACAGCAGATCAAGAAACACCAAAACAGAAAAGGCAAACCACCCACGCAATGAATACCCGTGCCCAAGGAACGCGAACACAACGCCTAGAGTACAAACATGAAGACGACGCAGACACAAGTATTTTTTAACCAAGTCATCATACTCGACTCCAACACCAGGATCGGATCGAATCAACGATCCCACGATCTTACAGGACAAGATCGCAATCCCCAGCGATCTTGACTGACTCCGATCTTGTTTGCGATCTAGATCGTGGAGGTTGCGCAAGATCACAAAATCGTGTGATCTCACGATTAAGATCGTGATCTTGACAACACTGGTCCTTACAACTTTATCAAACAGGCACTCTTAAATAAAGTTCTGAAGGATTCTTTATTTATAAATAAATCTTATTAGATGGTAACAAATTTTGTATAGCAATTTATGGTATATCCCCCTTGCTTTGTTCTTGAAAGAAACGGTACTTTGTACAATGTGATGTAATTATGTAGATATAAGAACAAGATAGCAATGCTAATAAGTTATTGCATAACTTGCAGCTAAATGGTGAAAAAATTATGGAGTAGGTATGCCACATTTACAAAACATTGTCATTAGGGTGTTGAATTTGACCTGTAGTTCATATGGATGTAAACGAAATTGGAGTACTTTTGAGCATATAATTAAAGGTCAAATAACTTCAATTTAAAGTGCTCAATCTAATAATATTGGAAGTGTTAAACTAATACTTTTTATGTTAAAATAAATCTATTCTAAAAAGAAAAATAGACTTGAGTATCAAAGGTTGCAAGACTTAATTTTCATTAAATATAACCAAGCTCCTAATGAATGTTTTAAGAGTTCTGATGTGACAGATCCTATTCTCTTAAAAGATGTTGATGATAATAATGATTAGTCGCTAGAAGGAATTGTTGAAGATGATGAAAATGTTGTAGATGAATTAGTGTTTGATGATGATATCTTGACTTGGGAGCTGATACCAATGCAATTGGGGCCAATGAGCCTATAACTTATACTTGGCAATAAACTAGATCAAAACCTAAGACAACTACAATTGCTTATTCCTCTAAATATAAGAGAAAAAGAAAAGGAATTTGTACAAGAAGAAGAATGTGATGATAAAGACTCTGAATAAAAAGAGGAAAAGGAAGAAGGGCTCTACAAAAATAGTAATGAAAGTGAAAATGAAAAAAAAAATGGCAGATAGTAAAGATGATGATGATGATAACTATTAAAATATTTAAATTTGAATTGAATATTTAGTATTCTAAACTTCTATGCATTACAAATGTGAATTTGTTTAGTTCATGTATTTTGTTGTTATTTGTTATTGTTATTTGACATTTGTTATGTTTTTAAATTTTCACTTTTGATCATTAATATTGCATGTCTTCAATTTGGGTCTTAATTTTGTATTTTTCAGGATATATGTATGTAGCTTAATTTATATTAGGTATATTTAAAATGCCTAAAATAGCGATTATCCCACTATCCGCTATCCTACTATAGCGTTTTTGGGGTCAGCCACTCCACCTCGCTATCCAAGATTTACTATTATGACTTTACAAATTTTATAACAGCAAACCAAAAAACAGCTTTGGATTTAAACATACAAATACAAGTAGTTGTCTGGGGTTTAAATCATAATATGCAATTGAACTCACATTCCAATCGAGTGTAGTGACATCCTTACTCTTCTCATTTGTTTTACCCCTAACATGCTTCAACACCAATACGTTCAAAGGGCCATTCTGTGAAGCAGGCTTACATCTCCCTTCTGCTATTGTCCAAATACGAGCTGTTGAGTCCCCAGACCTAAAAGTTGAAATGATCATGGGAAAGTGAAAGAATATCATATGAAGCCATCATTCAGGATTCATTTTCAAAATCACAAAATTGAAAGGGATGATCCTTAAAGTAATCTTTAAAAGTCCTTCACTACTCCGAAAAAGAAATTGATAAACAGCATCACTATTGAATCTATTCATTTTCCATTTTATAAAAAGGAAAGCTAAAGTCATTGCATGGGATTGCAACAACGATGGGTTATAAAATAGCATAACAAGGAAAAGTCAAGTTAGAATTCATTATCGTAAAGAAAAACTATCATATCCACTAGCATTAACATGCATATTCTTCAGAACTTTATTAATTATAAAATGAGGACTTCTGATCTTGCTCATGTTCATTTGTCTTGGTCAAACATTTTTTATTCCAGGAGTAAAAGACTATTAGAAAAAGTTTAGAAAAATAAATCCTTAGAAGTGCTTAATCCAAAAACAAAAATAAAAAAAATTGGAAAGTGAAAAGCATATGATGATCACAAATATCATAAAGTAAACCATTCAGACAAAAATACAATATGCAACTGTCTCCATCTATTGTAAATTTCCATTAGTTTCATAAAAACAAATCACATGATTCACATTACTCTTGATACCCAAATGTGTGTCACAGTTTTAACAAATTTCCCAACCATATACGGTACATACCACACATAACTCATCTGCAAATTATGGTAGAGAGAAAGAAAGTTCAGGCCAACTTTTGTATATATCTCTTTTAAAAGATCAAGTCAAACATCCAAGACAGAAACTAGAAGTCAAGAAGTTGGGGAGAAAGGGGAACTAGAGAAAGAGAGATCCCCCTGCCTATTTATTTTAACAACAGTGAAGTATGGGTATTGGATGCCAAGGAAATTGTTGAACTGTGACTAATTGGATACCATTAAATCATTTGAAAGATTCTTCTCAAAATCAACCAACCAATAAAACATTTGAAAGGATTTATATCCAGAAACCAGCTTTTGGAAACATTTCATATTGATGTTATTTCCTATTTGTAAACAGGAAAAAAAAAAAAGTTGAAGTTTCAGAATGTAATTATCAATGATGGGGACAAAACTCATTAGACATAGAAGGCGAAAGAAAAAGGAACAGAACAAAGTGGGTCTTGTAACAGAAATTGAAATACCAACAAAAAAAACCCTAAAAAAGAGGATTGTGAGTTGTGAACCACAGAAAAGTAGTAGCAAGAAGATTTTCTCTCCATCAACAGTAGCAGCTGCAATGACCACAAATTCTGGGATAACAGCTATTTGCCATTGCGACTCCCACTACCCAAAATTTCTCCACAGAAAAGTCTAGAATAGCAGCCAAAGGATGCTCCACAAAACTAGACATTATAGTGTGCTATTAACAGCCACGTTTCAGAAATTGAATGCCAACACAATGTTTCCAAACAGGTTCAATTAATTTTAAAAATCATAAATGAATTTGTTTCCCTCCATCTTAAAAAAGAAGTCAAACAAAATTGGAAGCATTACAAATGGAAATTCAAGATGCAAAATATTATGTGCATCAACCATAATGTTACACACAATTTAATACATATTTTTTATGCAAAAATAAACACTTCATGTAGATGCATACCCTGATGCAAGTAGAGATCCTGCTGGGCTCCATGCACAAGCACACACCTATACAGATGGTGAACAGGCCAATTACAGAGTGTTTGACAGAAGAAACAATAGTCAAAGAGAAAATTTAAGAAACAAAAGAAGCATTGATGATATTCTCAACCTCTGAAGTATGACCTTCCAAAATCGTCACATCTGAACTAGGAATTTCACATAGCTGAGATGTTGATGTTGTAGAGATGTCCATTGGTTCTGGTTCTATTAAAGAAAATGAAAATTCATATGAAGGAATATTATTAATCAAAACAGACCGCTAGTATTTTTGTGTGTCCCGGCCAATATACAATGAAATACTCCAATTAACAGAGCATCTTGGGGCAAAGGAGTCTAGTGGTGTAAAACTTTCAACTATAACAAGTAATTTTATTTGGAACACACCTTCCCAGAGATAACATAAGTAAAATGGATAAAATTGTAGAAAACCCATATTTGCAAGCAAACTACAATATCAAGGGGTTAATTTTTCAGTCATTAGTCATCATTCATTTAACCTCTCCTGCTTTGGAACCCAACCCAATATTCAAGTAAATATAGTATAAATTTTAGAAGGAAGAAGCAATCATAGAAACATGTAAAGACAAACAGAAAATGAAGGATAACAAAGGAAAATGGAATTATATGAGAGTGACATTTAGGGTGGATTCAAATAAGAAAATGTCGCTAAGTACCACACATGCAACAAAGAACATATTTTGCAATGTCAACCATTTCACTGAGTAGCACATTACCTCCAACTGCACCATTCTCTTCATGCTTTACAGGAACTTTATTTTCATGATCTATGACCATTTCTCTGACAGTATGATCTCCATGCTGCTGTTCTCGCTGTCTATCATTTTCTACCTTCTCCCTATCCTTTTCAACTTCTTTTTCCCTTTCACGTCTATCCTTTTCAACTTCTTTCTCCCTTTCATGTCTATCCTTTTCAACTTCTTTCTCCCTTTCACGTCTATCCTTTTCAACCTCTTTCTCCCTTTCGCGTCTATCCTTTTCAACCTCTTTCTCCCTTTCACGTCTTTCTCTTTCTCTTATCCGTCCACGTTCCCCTTCATGCTCCTTCTCAAATTCCTTCTTTCTTTCCTTATGTAGCTTTTTCCTTCTTTCACTTATCATTTGTCTAAGTTCATGCACATCTTTTGTGATAAGATCCAAAGGTTGTAAAAATGAAAAATCTTCTTCCAGGTCTGCATCACACTGGCAGGCTTAAAAGAAACATTGATCAACATGAAACCTAGGGTACAACAGCTTAGAAAGGTCTAATCAAATAGATGAATGTCATGTTGAAACTAAATCAAGAATTCAAAAAGTATAGAATGCTAACATTACTCAAGTTGGCTTCCATCTCAAAGTACTGTAGCCCCTTCTGAACAAATGTAACAAGAGCACCTGGTGGCACCAAATTTCCATCTATGGGGCATTTGTTAATACCAGCTTCATAACCAAATGTAAATGCACTATGTGTGAAACCTGCAGCAGTGAAGTAACACAGGTAGCCAATAAACCAATTCAATTGCAGGCTACATTCCATTTTGTAAATATGAAAAGCTTCATAAAATGAAAATTATGACCTGTAATTGTTCAGTAAACAAATTACATTATAAACTCAACCTCATCAAGCTTTCCTAATTCAAATAGATGCCCTAGTCTATATGACTCCTCTAAGACAACAGCACCAATGTATTATTATCTATCACTTCACACTTCAAATTTTAGAAAAGCAAAATCAATGTCCACATTTACATCTTAACAAAGCGTAAATAACAATCATTCCACACTTTTCTAATGGATATTTTCATGGACCAACTCTCCTAAAAACTTAAGCTGTTCTGTAAAAGCAACAACAACAACGACCAAGCCTGTCCCATTAGATAGGGTCGTTGCATGGGTCAAATGAAGCAACAATGTTCTGTGTATATCATGTCTATAGCAAGAACTTGACCTCTAAATCCTTCTTAATGATTTTCCCTATAAACTGTTTGCAATCTCCTCTGCCTCTAGCAATTGGGTTGAAGATTAACTTGGTCATAAGGGATCTAATCAATATTCTAACATACCGTTGAAGCCTAACTCGCCAAAAAGCGTATGTTATTTGGCAAAAGCACCGAATCATTTTATATTGAACAAATATTACATTACACGTTATATGGTTCTGAACAAGAATAGTCAGTCTACAGAACAAGCAAACATTTGTTCTTCAAACCAACAGTGAATCATTTTATAATTTCCCTCAAGCACTCAGTTCCACAGCTCAAAGCTTTGTAAAGTTTCCTTTCAATCAATAATTCTACTATCATTTTACAAATATAACTACCAACTTACATCAACTACAATCAGAATATATTTCAGTATGAACAGAAAATAATTAAGCTCACCACAAGCACCATTTTGATTTACCGTAACATCTCATTCAGTTAAAATGAAAAGCAACCAGTAACAATACTAACAATAACCACTGTCATTTCATTCCCAAAAATAACTACAATCTCATAGTATATTGGTTAAAAACCATAACTGATAAAATAAACAGAAAACTTTGGAACTTCAAAAATCATGTCTAAACACCAAATCTATTTTACCGAAGCAGATCTAACAATTTTCAGTCCTCATTATATATTTAACCAGGAGAAAAAAGGGCGAAGGACCATTTTTCCAGCCTAATCAATTTTCCTTTTCTCAGAAATAGTAAACCCTAACCCGTAGGAACAACATTGAAGCGCTCAAAAAAGCTCGCAACTGTTAAATTTATAAAAAAACAAAAAAAAAGACTCGGTATTCGTTGTAGAACCTTAACATCCTTCAGATACAACAAAAAAAAAAGGAGGAAAAAAAAAAGAACTAGGACACATACAAAAGGATTTTGGAACCAAAAAGAGAAAGGAAGAGCAGAGAAACCTGATTCTTGAAGGTAGCGAAAAACTAGGTAATTGAGTTCGACAGAGGAGATGGAGGTCATGTTCGACATAGAAGGGTTAAGCTACGACGAGCATGAGTCCTACCCCAAACTAGGGGGAGAGAGGGGGGGGGGAATGGAGGAAGAGGCGAGGTTAGTTGTGATTGGAAGAGGTGAAGAAGGTGAAGCTTTGGAAGAGGTAATAGGTAAGGGGTAGCAAAGGCAGAGGGAAAGGGAATGGATTAGAATAAGAAACTGCCACAGTCACGCTCACGGGGTCAGGGGGGGTTCCATCTGCCTCTGTTACTTTTTACACCGCTTCCGTTTCTTCGACTTCCCAATTTTGCTTCTTCTTCCGTTTTCCTTTTTTTTTTTTTCTTTTATGAATTCATTTTAAACCTTAAATTAATGTCCATGACTCCATTTTAAACCTATAACCCTATAATTGGAGATTATTTTTTATTTTTTATATTCACAACTAGAAACTAAAACTTTTATTTATGTACTTGAAAGAATTTAATTATCTACCAACTATATCAAATTAGTGTTCATGACCTAAAGCAAATTATATTAATGAAAAAGGAAAAATTATATAATAACATCGAATAAAATTATTTTTTATAACAAATATTTATGATTTGAAAAAATAAATATTATTTTTGAATTTCTTTGTTGATGTTATTGTTAGAAATTATAATCAATATTCATTTATTTTATAAATTTAAAGTTTTAATTTTTTTTAGTTTTAATTTCAACTTAGATATTTTTTAATGTACATTTAATTATTATAGTTTGTATTTATTTATAAATTATTTTTATATTTTAATTTATATATAAATATTTTGTTATGTTTTAATTTTTATTATAATATTTTAAAAAATATATTAAAATTAAACAGTAAATTTATCGGTAGTGTAATTTAATAATATTTTTTAAAATATTTAAGATTAATTAGAAAAAATCATTTATTTAAAAATATTGTTTTACAAAAAAATTCAATATATGTTTGATACAGAAACTTTTTAAAGTTTCTCAAAAGAGGACATTCGGTAACCACCCTTTTAAATTTGTTTAAAAAATTTTAACTTAATAACGTTAAATTATTATATTTGCTACAAATATTTTAAAATTAGTTTAAATAATATTTTTGTTTATATACTTAACTCATATTTATAAGTTAATTTTTATATATAAAATATATCTTTATTTTAAATTTAGTTTCTATCATTATGTTTAAACTAAACGACGTTAAATAAATAAGAGACTGAGTCAAAAATAAATATATATGTAAGAATTATTTTACAAATTTTTTATATATAAAAACTAACTTATAAATATGAATTAAATATAAAAACAAAAATATCATTTAAACTAATAAACTCTCCTGTGTCGCTAACATTCCTCTTCTTCATTGATGCTTACTTCAAGGAAGCTTATTAAAAGATCAAATGGTATATGTAACTAGATCAAAAGTTAAAACCATTTTGTCAACATAAGTGGTTATGAAAATGTTCTTACTCACAATGAAATATGGTAAAAGTTGCATATGCACATCAACTTCTTTCAATTGCAACTAATGCTCAAGCTTATGCATTTCAGTTTTATTCAAAATGTATCTTCTTAAAAAATTGTGAAAAGGACCTTAATCATAGCATGACGACAATTGGATATACTGAGAAGAAAATGATGAAAAGTATTGAATGATGAGCAAAAGTTAGTGGTCCCTACTATTAATGTGTTTAATAAATTTCCTTGAAGTGAACATCAATGGAGAAGAGCAATATTGCTAGCATAAGGGAGTTTGTTTAATGTCATTTAGTTTGATAGGAACTAAATTAAAAATAAATATACGTATAAAGACTGATTTACAAAATTTTACATGAAAGGACTAACTTACAAATATGAATAAGTGTAAGAACAAAAATATCATTTAAGCCAAGTTTATTTAGCGTCATTTATTTTGAATGTAATGACAAAGACTAAATTGAAAATAAATATACGTATATACGAATTAATTTATAATTTTTTTATATGTAAGGAATACTTTACAAATGTGAGTTAAGAATAAAGACGAAAAAATCATTTGAACATAACTTTTATATAAAAAATTATTTTCATTTTAGCCTTTACTATTGTGGATATTTTAACAAGTTAACAAAATTCTTTTGTGGTGAGCATATTTGTCAATTTTTATTTTGACATTGCCTACTTGTTATTTTTAAAATGCTAACTAATTATAAACAACCCTAAGCCTAGGACCAATGTTAAGGAGCTTGATGATGCCACTTATTATCATATTGCATGCCTTCACATTTAATGAACATGTCCTTATTAATAGAGGTAGTCCAAGGTTTTGAGAGTTTTCTTGAAAATAAATCTAACTAAAACTAATTAGGCTAAATTTTTAAAGAAATACTTATTAAAAAATAAATATAAAAAATAAATAAAATTTCTTTCATAATTAAAAAACAACTTATATTCTTTAATTTTTATAGATGTTAAATAAAAATTTTCAAAACATAGAAAAATATAAGTTATTTTTAATTTATAAAAGGAGTTTTATTCATTTTCTTATTTAATTTTTGTCTCTTACAAGTACTTTTAAAAAACTTTATCTAACTTGAGTTTATGATCTCTTTAAATATATTGACATAAGCAATCTTCATGAGGGACAAAGAAGGACTTTTATTCATAAACAACATCACTATTTAAAGACTTTGTTCTATCATGAGTGAGTAGTATGTCTTCATTACATTCTAATGTTCATTTAAATTTTCTATTCAAGTCATCTAGTTATACTAAGGTTGCACCCAATCAAGATGAACTAGATTAATATTGCAACACTCAATGTGCCATGATGAGTAGGAAAGATAAATCACTTGTAAATGATGATAATAATACTATATAACCCGAATCTTTAAGAAGCTTGTTGTTGGTAGAGTTGTTAAAGTAACTTAGTTGATGAGTTTCTTCTATTTAGATTAGAGAAATTCCTTATGTTTTTGTGGTTTGGTTGAAGTGTTAGAGAGACCTAAAACAAAATAAAATAGGTTGCATTGAATAATTGATAATTGTTTCAGTTAAATTCATTGATTAACTATTATTAAAATTTATATTGATTTCATGTTAATATAAAATAATGCAATACCTAATACTAATGCTCATATCTAGTCACTCATATCACCTCTACTAATTTTGTCTCATTTTTTCTCAAAATTATTATGATATTGTAAGTGACCTCAAAGATTAAGAAAGGTGCAATAACACAATTAAGGATGCCAATGGACCTAATACATGAGAACTAGCTTAACCATAACATGAGTTTGAGAAAGAAAATCCAGTTCAAGTTTAATCTTTTCCTAGTTAACTTGGTCAGGCTCGAGTTTGAGTTTAGGAGTTTTGATACCAAACTACTCTATCTTTTATATTTAATTAATAAAAGAGAAACAAGGGCGAGAAACTTGATAAGGGCAAGTTGGATTTTTCTCTTTTTAACTTACTAGGTTCAAGGAATAAAAGTTTGAGTTTGGAAAAAGGTAAATTCATCCGATTGTTAACACTAAATAAAACAAGTAAAAGAACTAAGTTAAAATTTTTGTAATTTAATGTATTCTTGACCTAAAAAGTGATGTTAGCATTCCATTTACTATCTTAAAACTTTGTTAACAATGTTATAATATTTATTGATGACAAAATTTAAATTAAAATAAAATTTCAAAAAAAAATTATTATATAAACTTTATTTTTCAAATTAAAAGATGTTATTAAGTATGAAATTAAGAAAAGTATTTAAACAAAATATTTAAAAGTATTCTGTATACTTTCATTGTGAATATTTTTTTTTTGTATTGTATGTGTATTATTAAATTAAAATAACATTTTTAATAAAAAGTTAAATTTATGAATAATTTTAAGTTGAATAATTTTGATAAATTAAAATAATAAATATTTTAATTATTAATAATTCAAATTTTATTATAAAGTAAATATTTTATTATATTAAATAAGATTAAATTAAATAGATAAAATTTTAAAAGTTTTAAAATACTTAAAATCAAAATTGAATTTGAGTCAGAGTTTTCTCCAAGATTATCTTTAGTGAGGAGTGAGAAAAGATTGAGAGGGCTCTGCTAGGATTTCCACTAACCCTAGTTTCTCTTTGAGTTTCACCTTACGCCATGCTTTTGATGGCTATCCAGTGGCCCTAGCAGGGGTTCTCCTTAATATCACTTGGCTTGCTCGTGGGAGACCAAAGATGGATCATGTAGCAGCAAAGAAATGATTCATTGAAGAGAAAGGTCTCCTAAATAAAAGTATACAAAATGTGAAAGTAGATATTGATTCTTCATTTGAGGTTCTTTAGTCGTACGTACATACAAAAAAATCTTCTTATTGTTGCCCAAACTACCTAGGTGCCTTCAAACCTTGTTCTCTATATCCCTCTTTCCTATAAAGATCTAACCTTAAGGCTTAAAGATTTAGATCTTGATCTGCGTGATGATGAAATTGTGAAATCAGTGTTAGAAGATTTAAATATGGTTGTTAAGTCTGATTAATAATGAAATATTAAGTGATGAAAACCAATCTCTGTGCCCAGAGTTAAAGATTACCTTAGAGGATTATGAAATGTGGTGTTCTATATGATTTAACCCTAATCATTAAACTTTTTGGTAAAATAGTTAACTTTAATTACCTCACTCAAAAATTAGAAAATATTTGGGGTAAAAATGACCCTCTTAAAATCTTAGACCTAAATAATGAATACTTTATGGTAAAATTTGATAGCATGGAAGAGTATAAGCATGCTTTGTTTGAGGATCCATGGTTGATCCTTGATCATTATCTTTTAGTTCAACATTGGAGACCTTTATTTATACCTAAGGACCAAAATATTAGAAAAATTGTTACCTGAGTTCAAATTCTTGATCTACTTTTAGAGTTATACAATGATAAATTCTTATGATAGGTAGAAACCTATTTAGGGACAATGTTAAAAGTTGATCGCCACACTTTTTTGTTATAAAGGGGTAGATTTGCTAGGATATGTGTAGAACTTGATTTAAGAAAGAAATTAATATCATCCTTTAAGGTTTTTGGGTAGAAATTTAGAGTAGAGTATGCGAGTTTGTCCTCATTTGTTTTAACTATAAGATGTATGGGCACAGACAAAATCCTATCTTGTAAACTCTATTTCTAAGACTGAATGTAATATCACTTATCCTAAACCTGTAGATTCCCTAGTAAAACAAGGTAATGAGTCAGTTTCATAAGAATTCTCCCTTGTGGAGAGGTTTCAAGGGGTTCTTGAACGTAATCTAACCAATGAGCAGTGAAAATATGGACCTTGAATGCTTGTTAAAAGATATGTAAGGAAAATAGTTGGCCAACCTAGGATTTTGGGAATTATTAATTCTAATATTAGAGGAAAGGGTAATTCTTCAATATCTAGATTTGATATATTAGATACTTCCTATTCTAAGTAGGATTAGGAAAGAGATACTAGTCTTACAAATTTTATAGATATGTCTAGGAAACTTGATTCCCTTTTTGAGAATAATCTTAACAACCAATTTAAAAAACATCAAAGGCCAAAGCTAAACCTAAACAACATATGGGAGTAATTGGAAAAAGGGATAATATTCCTTTTGATGTTATTAGTTCTCCTTTCTTTGAACTACAAGTCTTGAATAAGGCTAATCAAGACCATGAGGAAGTGTTTTTGGCCGATGAATAGCTTGCAACATGAACTAAGGAATTGTTCTAAGGATAGTCCATCCAAGATTTGTTGAGCATGAATTTTGATAGCCATTGGAAAGCTTCAAATGAGAAAGTCAATAAACTCCCTAATACGTCTTTTATTTGTGATCCCTCTATGGATATTGATATCTTAGATGCTAAAATGAGCTGAAGCAAGATTAGTTCAAGTCTTAGCATTATACAAATAAAACATAACTCTTCTTTCTAATTTTTTAATGAATTGTCTATTCTAGAATTGTAAGGGTGCACAGAATAGGACTTTTTCTAGGCTAATTAATTATTTGATTATCATATACAAACTAAATTATGTAGTTTTGTTTAAACCTAGAGTAAGTTTGGCTAGATCTTATCAAATTATCAATAAGATAAATTTAGATGGAAATGTTAAAGTTGAAGCCTTGGGATTTTCAAGGGGTATCTCGTGCCTTTGGTATATTAATAGTGTCAAAGTCTCTGTCTTAGCTAAATATAATTATTTTGTTCATTTGAAAATTAGTAACCATGGTCAGTTTGATTAGGTTCTATCCATTGTCTATGTTAGCCCCCAAGAATGTTTAAGATTTACTTGCTAGAATGAATTGGTTAATTTTAGCTCGTTGGTAAACTCTGATTGATGTCTTGCAGGAGATTTTAATTCTATCCTATATGACTCAGAAAAGGAAGGAGGAAAACTTGCTATAATTAATCTTATAAGGATATTTGTTGATTCCTTACATATTTGTGGTGTACAAGATTTAGGTTTCAAGAGAAATCTTTTTAGTAGAAGTAGGGGTAATTTGAAAGAAATGTTGGACAGGAGATATTCAAACAAAATAATGAAGAAATGGGTGCAATTAATTAAATTAGGATAAAAATCTCCTTTAAGGCTTAAAACTCACATTTGTCGGTTAAAGTTTAATAAAAAGCAGAAAAGTAGGGAATGTGACTAATTATTAGTTTCCAAATAAAATTTTTACTCTAATAATAATCACTCAACATGCTTTTTTATCTAGGAAAATTGGGTTCATTGGGAATAAAAAGTCTCAAATTATCATGAAAAACATGAAAAAATGGTACATGTACTTAGTTCAGAGCAAGCAATAATAATCATATTATTAAGAGCTCTATTATACTTAAAACAAAACATTGTCCTTAATGTTTGAAAAAATTAAATGCATGTGAAGAGGCCAATAAAAAAATAAAAAGGAAAGGAACTCCCTGATAAGTTTGGAGAGACTGCTTATTTAGGATATGATTTCTTACGCGCAACAACTTCTGATGTAAAGCACAGTCATGCTAAACCATATGCACGCTCATGCTTACAAAGTAGAATTCCTTCTTCAATTGCGACTATATGCATAGTTGTGCATGCCACTAGCACGAGTGTGCTTATGAATCAGAGCTCACAGTATGTGTATAGTGAAGAACAACTTAGCTCCTTCGAGCTTCTAGTATGCTTATTCTTCATTAAAAAAAAAAGACTAAAATAAGCAAAAGGAAATAAAATGAAAATGAAAGATATATATTACCTCCTACTAGTGCTTGTTTAACGTCACAAGCCTGACGATCCTGTTGGATTATGGTGGAAAGAAGACATGAGTCTCAGAGGTAACTCTCTTGATATATAGTTGTCTTCCCATCAACTTCTCTTTCATAACTCTTGTCACATCAGCAGGTTTAATTGTAGGAGATGAAATAAGAGAAAAATTTAAATAAAGAGGAGGAATTTTAAGCTTTAAATGTGGGGGTTTATTAGTGGATGGTTTAAGCTTTTGTTTCTTCTTAGGTTGCTTCTTTCTTGACCTTCTTAATGTTTCATGCTTCACAAAATTTAAAGGAGAAGAAGTAATATCCATAGTACTCACAAAGTTGTAGGATTCTTGACTCGAAGAGTACTTTAAAGAACTAAAAACTTGAAAAATGACTTACTCATCCTTTAGCCTCAAGGTGAGCTTTCCTTCTTGAACGTCTATGATAGTTTTTGTAGTGGTTAAGAAGGGTTTGCCTATGATGATGGGGATATTACCATCCTCCTCCATGTCAAGCACCACAAAATCAACAAGAAATATGAACTTTCTAACCTTCACAAGCACATTTTTCACTATACCTTCAAGATAAGTAATCGATCTATTTGCCAATTGAAGTGATACAGTGGTCAGTTTATGCTTGTGTATCCTAAGCTTCTTGAAAATAGAGTAGGACATAAGGTTGATATTTGCTCATAAATCACATATAACTCTATCAATGCGAGTTTTCTCGATGGTGTAAGGAATAATGAAACTTCCTGGGTCCTTAAGCATAGGGAAAAACTTTTAAAGGACTATAGTTGAACACTCTTCAGTAAGCTTCACAGTTTCCTGTACTTTCAACTTCCTCTTATTGGTTAAAATCTCCTTGAGAAAACTTGGCATATTTGAGTATTTTGGAGATAACATTGATGAAGGGCGTATTAATTTGCACCTTCCAATAGACCTAAGAATTTTTCAAATTCCATGTCTTAGGTGGGTTATCCCTGCAACCTTTGCGAGAAAATTATTCTAGACTCGTAGGCCTTTGGTTGTGCAGGAGGTTTTTCTTTCATCTTTTTTTCGTACTCTGCGCTTCAAGCGTGACCTTGCTCATGAGGTGCACGACCATGCTTGTTGAATCAACATGGACATACTTCTGATAGCACGGTTGTGCTTCCTCTGGAGCATGGATGTGCTCATTAGAATGCAAAGGCGTGCTTGTAGAGGGAGTAGGAGCGTGCTTTTTAGTAAGCATGAGCATGCATGATTGCATGTGCCTTTATTCTGCAATTTTTGCAATTTTTTTCTATTTTTAAGAGTGATGACATTGTATTTCTCCCTTGAATTAGATTCAAGCTGCATTGGTAACGTTCTCAGCATTCTTTGACTTAGAAGATTAGTAACTTGCTCTAATTGTGATTCAATCTTTGAAAACTATGCTTTCATCTCTGATTTGATCTCTGCAATCCTTTTATCATCCCTTTCAACATGTTGCTCTAACTTAAACTCAAGTTTTGTCATCCTTTTATCAAAATAATGCACATGTTGCATCATTGTCTCTTGAAAGTTGAATTGAGATCTAAGAGTCTTCTTCCCCTCTGGTCTTGCTCCTTAATTTTGTCTATGAGAAGGGCGATAAACATTTGAATTTTGGCTTCTAAAGCCATTCTCCTAAGAGTTAGAAGGGTTGTTATGCCAACTTGAGTTATAATTACTGTCCATAAAATTAGCTTCCTTTTTACTTTTTGTAACTAGATAATTATTGTTATCATGGCCTAAAGAGTTGCAATGTTCACACAAAAGGAGTTGTAGGTAGTTTTGTTGGTTGCTTATCTACTTTCAATAAGGATTTCACCTGCTTAATCAAAGCTTTTAACTAAGTTGTTAGAATATTTATCCCTTTTGTTAGATATATTAGAGTAATCTCCTTTCTTCTATTCATGAAAAAGTTGGCTATGTGCCATTGAAAATTGGTGGAGGTCAACTCATCTACTAGTTTATATGCCTCATCTCGGTCCTTTCTTATGAGAGCTCCTCTAGTTGTTGCATCAACAATGACCCTATTGGAGACTAACAAGCCACTGTAAAAGATTTGCATCTATCTCCACACAGAAAAATTATGGTGAATGCACCTCAAAAGTTCTCTAAATCATTCTCATGCCTCAAATAGGAATTCTAACTCATATTGTTGAAAATTAGAAATTTTTGCCATAAGCTTGGTAGATCTAGTTGGGAGGGAAATATTTTTTCAGAAATTGGTAAGTTAGATCTTCCCATGTTGTGATGGAGCCTATGAGGAGCATGACAAACCATGCATTCACCTTTTCTGTAATAGAGAATGGGAAAAAGTGAGGTCTAATAGCATATGTGATGACCCCGTTGTACTTTATAGTGTATGTAAGTTAGAGGAATTTTGTCAGATAGAGGTTGGGATCTTTATTAGGCATTCCTCCAAATTGTGTAGATTTTTCTATGCCGGCTTCAACTTAAAATTATTGGCCTTCACATTAGGAGCTGCAATGCTTCTAAAAGTACTTCCAGTAGTTGATGCAATATAATCTTGAATTGATCTCTTTCCCTCTGCTATTTTTTTTCTTTCTCAACTCATTCCTTTCTCTTCATACAATTCTTTAAATTTTTTGATCAAATGAGCAACTTGTAAAAGAATTGGAAATAGTGAGCATGCACTAAAGAAAAATTTTAAAAAAATAAAACAAAATAAATAAAATAAAAAATTGAAAATAAGCAAAACAAAATTAAAATAAAACAAAAGAAGAATTATTCAGATTAATTAAATATGAGATTTTCTTAATATAAGAAAAACAATACTCGATAATAGCACCAAAAACTTGTTTGTGGGCAAGTATACTGATTAAAAAGTAATAAAGAGTTTTAAATATAAGCTTCTCAATTATCGTTCTACAAGCATAGTTTCTAATTACTAATAATTTTTTAATTTAATTGTTTCAACTTAAAGGATATAAAATTAAATAAAACAAGAATTTAAATATGAAAGTAATTAAAATAGAATTAAAAATAGCGCAACCTCTTATAATAAACTAATAAAAAAGAACCTAAAGCGTATGTTTTCATCGTCACAATTCCTTATGTTCCCTTTTTTATTAATTCTAATTTCAGTTTCTCTATAATTATCAATCACTCATACTAAAGCTATTAACACTCAATGGTTATGTAATATTAATAGTCTTTTTTAAAACTATTACCCCTAATGGTCATCTAAAGTAAAAAGAAGAGAAATCATAAGGAGACTATAAGCTGTTAATTTAATAATAATTGAAAGAGATTGGTTTGACTCATCTAATTCTTTGTCTTGTTTTACTCTGTGAATTCATTAACTATATGTGGTATGGTCACCTATGATATAATTAATTATAATATATTTAAGAGTTGTCAATTATAAACATGCAAATATGATGTAATAGGGTAAACACCAATTAAGGAAGGAAACATGAAATTATTATTAATAAAAAAGATCCCATAAAGTTATGCAAAAAATTCACCATAGCCCTAGCTATAGATTTGGCTAAACATAGTATAAAAGGAAATCAAGACAACACTAAACAAACCATAGAACTGAAAAAGTAAATATAAATTAAAGGAGTCTCCAATGGAGAAGACATGAGAACTCTTAATTTGACACGTTCTCGAAGCTCCAATAGTCGTCAGGGACTGGCCACTACTAAGGTTGAGAATGTAAAAGTGATGTGATAAAGGCATGGAAGGAATGAGATGAAAATCGAATGTGAAAGGTATGAAAAAGGATCTTGAGCCGCTGCCCTCAAGGTCTCTTTTAATAAGGTTTGATAACTTTAGAATTTTTTCAAGTTGGGCTTCTCACATATGAGCACGACATTGTAAGCCTATAAGCACGACTGTGCATGTAGGCGAAATACTCCCGTGTTGACTGTTGGGATCTAAGCGTGCTAACTATAGCGAAACCTTATTTTTCAATCAATTTGGGTCTAAAATGCACCAAAAACCTAATTGTGACCTTTTCATATCAATCTGCACAATAATCATAGAAATTAGTGAAAAACTCAAGTAAAATAATGAACATTCATCAATATATAAGCTATAAAAATATGTCAAAATATAGACTTATCAACAAAGTAGTTGCTAATGAATCTTGGCAATGTTCATTCCTTAACAGGTCTGTCATCTATATACGTATCCCTAAATTTAACCATGCTAATCTTTGGCTCAGGATTTGAAAAAAGGATAATGATTATCAACATAATAAAATCTTCAAATTTATGGGTTCTTGGATTACTTATGAGGACTTTCCTAATTAAGTTAGGAACTCTTGGATCCCTTTAACTCCTGGACAAATAATGTATCAAGGTTCAAACATAATATTTCTGATAAATAGGTTCACCTTTGGTAATATCTTTAATAAGAAAAACAATTAATGAATAGGATTGATGAGATTTATTACAAACTGGATAGTGTTAATAATCCTTTTCTAACCAACTTAACAAATTCACTCTAAAATGAATATCATATTACTTTAGATCAGGAAGAATGATTTTGTTATCATTACTATAGGACCAATTGGTTATTTTTGGGGATAGGAATAGTAAGTTTTTCCATAGAGATGTTGTCTCTAGAAAACATAATTTAATTGAAGTCTTAAGAAATGATCAAGATGGATGAGAATATGATTATGCCAAAATTAGACTTATTGCTTTTAATTACTTCAAAAACTTATATTTTGACCATCTCCTAACTAATTTTGCCGTCCATAGTAGTAATTCCTTTGCTCCTCTTTGAAAAAGAAGTTAGGGACAAGTTATCCTTCCCTATCATCGTAGAAAAAGTGAAGACCTCTTTGATTAGTATAGGCAATTTTAAGTCTCTTGGACTTGATAGTTTTCATGCCCTCTTTTTGAAATTCCAATGGAGTTATCTAGGTCCTTTTATTTATAATTTTATATTAGATATTTTTCTTAATCACTCCAAAATGTCAAGGAAAATAAAACTTGTATTACCCTTATTCTAAAATCTGAAAACTCTTAGTATATTACTAATTTTAGGCTTATATCTTTGGGTAACGTTAACTATATAATTGTAACTAGACTTAGAGAGTATCTTCTTATATTAATTTATCCTTATCAAACTAGTTTTATTCCCGACTGTTAGGGTATAGATAACTCCTTGATTTTGCAAGAATTGATGCATTCTTTTCATTCTCTAAAAGGAAAAAAATGTATATATGATTATTAAACTAGATTTGAAAAAAACTTATGATAAACTTAGGTGGAGTTTTATAATTAGTTCTCTGAACCTTGCTGATATAAGTCCTAAACTGTACAATTGATCCATCATTGTATCTCATTTCCCTCTATGTGTTTGAATATCAATAATATGCTATCTCAACCTTTCTTCCCTTTAAAGGTATCTGTCAAGAGGACCTTCTATTCCTTTACCTTTTTGTCTTGTGCATTGAGAGACTAGCTCATCTAATTAAGGATAAAATTGTTACTAATGAGTGGCCCTTTTCCCTTTTATTGTTAATGGTCTTGATATTGCATGTTGATGACATGCTTATTGTTGAAAAAAATGTTTCCATAATTGATAGGCTAAAGAAATAGTTAGGCGAGTCATTTGCCATAAAGGACTTAAGAGTTGCTAAACAGATTCTTGGTATAAGAATCTTACGTGACAAAAATAAAAAGTTATGGTTGTTACAAGAACACTACATTGAAAAGGTGTTGCAGAGATTTCAGGTGGAAAAGGAAAAAATGGTGACCAGTTCTCTTGCAGCTCATTTAAAGTTAAGTTCTAAATAGAGTCCATTAAATGAAGTTGAGAAATTAGATATGTAACAAGTTCCTTATGCATTTGTGGTGGGTAGTTTGATGTATGCACTGGTGCATACAAGACCTAACATAGTACATGTTGTTGGTACAATCGGTCGATTTTTGTCAAACCTAGGTAGAAAGCATTGAAATGTTGTGAAGTAGATTTTGAGGTATCTTCATGATATTGTAGATATGAGACTTTGTTTTGGTAGTAACAAACCTACTTTGGTGGGGGTACCAAGACTCAAATATAGCTGGAGACATTGATTCCAGGAGGTTCACTATGGGCTACATGATTAAATTTGCAGGGGGAGTTATGGCTTAGCAGTCTAAGTTGCAGAAGTGTATAACTTTTTTAACTATAGAGGCATAGTTCATTGTCTTGACTAAAGCATGCAAGGAGTTGTTATGGATGAAGAAATTCTTGCAGGAGTTTAGTTTTATTCAAGAAAGGTATGTATTATTTATGGATAATCAAAATGTTGTTCATCTTGGTAAGAATCCAATTTTTCATTCTAGGTCCAAACATATTGATGTAAGGTATCATTGAATATGAGATGCTTTGGATGCTAAGTTGTTGGAGTTAGTCAAAGTTCATACAGTTGATAATGATGCTAATATGACTAAGGTGTTATGTTTGTAGGCAAGTGTATCCGGCGAAAAGTAATAAAGGGTTTAAATTAAGTTTTCAAATTATCGTCCTACAGAGAATGTTTCCAAGTACCAAGAAAGTCGTGATTTAATTGTTTGAATTTAAGAGATGCGTGTGAAAGTAAATGAACTAAGTAAACAAGTTAAAAACAACGAGGAAACACACTTTTAATTGCTAATTGGATGAGAACTTAGGGCTTAAGGGTTTGCCTTTACATGTTTGTATGTTTTTCTTTAACTTAATTCTAATTCCAGTTTCTTTATAATTGTCAATCACTCATACAAACTTTATTAACATCCAATGGTCATGCAATATTAACAGTCTTTTCTTTAAATTAATACTCTCAATGATCATGCAAGGTGAAAAGATAAGAAAGCGTAAAATGTCTATGAGCTTGTTAATTAAATAACAAAAGAGTTAAGTTTGGTCCACATAATTCTTATATCATTTTATTCTATAAGTCCATTAACCATATGTGATACGAACACCTACTATTTAATTAATTATGATATGCTAGAAGTGACTAATTTCTAACATATAATTATGCACACTAGAATAAAAACCAATCACAAACGGAAATTAAAATTATCATCAAATAGAAAAATTACATAAATCCATACAAAGGATCTCTTATAGTCCTAGCTATGGGTTTAGTTACTTATCCTAAAATAAACAATCAAAACAAAGGTAATAAACTCCATAAACATGAAAGAAGAATACAAACTAAGATGGTTCCCCAAGGAA